AGGTTAGCCTCACGAGGGGAAGGGATTTTTTTGCATCTCCCTGGTGGCTGCGGGCTGCTCTATGACAGGGCATAAAAAGAAGCCACTATTGAAAATTATTTTTGCCATTGCAGATTCAAAGGTCTAGAGGTTTTATGAAGATTACTGCTCATGAACATCTTCAAAAGCCCAGACTGGGGAACAGAAGGAAAAGAAAAACATGTTTTTACTCAGTTTATTTAGGGAGACTTTCAGTGAAAGAAAATCCAGTAAATTATTAGAGTGAGACAAAAGAATTTGGTCTCAACTGTTCATCTTTTAAACCTGTAGTGACTGCAGCAGAACTCCCCTTTGTGTATGGTGGAACTAACAGGGCTGGACAGTGCCTTGCAGCTCCTTGCTCATGGATTTCTGCCTTCAGGCAGATACTCGGATAAATTAAATCATTCTATCTGTCCCTTGCTGACTTTTGGCAGTTAAAGATTGTATATGCAAGCTAAAAAAAAAAAAAACAAAACAAAATGAAAAAACAGTGAGATTCTGAGTTTAAATAACATGGAAAGTGAGACAAATTAAGAACTGATGACAGTCCAAAGAAAGACAATCTAGCTCTAGGACACCTGGCTTCATTGTAGAACAAACGGACAAACAAAATGGTTTGGGGCCATAAAATTTCCTTCTAAAGAGTGTTCTCCAGCTTATTCAGGTAGAAAATGAAGAATCTTGACAGGTTGGTTTGCGTTGTTTGTTTTTTTTTTTTTTTTTTAAATTAAAGAATAGCACTTCGACATCTCCAGAAGGATTCTACTGGCTCTTTAGAGATGCTCAAATCTGAAGTGATATCCTTCCATAACGGTAGAGATGGAGAAGTTGGTATTTAACAATCCGGCCTCCTGCAGGATGTCAAGGATTCCTCAAAATGCAGCTTCTTATAACTACATAAGCCGGCTAATGTAAGATGTTACCTCAGCTTGCAAATCTTGCTCTCCTGACCACCTAAGGAAAGACAGCAAAGGAGCCAGTAGTGCTATTAATTTGAACTAGAAAAGCTGAAGCATGTGTGAACATGAGAGAGAATACCTATTTTCTCAGAAGGCTGAATGTTAAAACAGCTTCTCTGTACAATTGCTAGACGAAGTCCTAGCCAGTTTTCAGACAGAGCTGAAAGACAACATGGTGGAAGACAGCTTGATCTAAGACGTAAGTCTTCACATTTCTCCAGCTTGTTGAGGTCCCTCTGAATGGCACCACACTCATCTGGTCTGAAAACCACTCCTCCCAACATTTTATCATTTGCAAACTCACTGCAAGTACACTCTGTCTCATTGTCCAGGTCATTATTCAAGGTGTTAAACTGTATTAGCCCCAGTATCAACTCTGGGGGTACACCGGTGACTGGCCTCCAGCTGGATCACGACTCTGTGCCCAGCAATTCAGCCAGCATTTAGTCCACCTCACTGTTGATTTATCTAGACCTTACTTCAGTTTCTGCGAGGATGTTATGTGAGACAGTGTCAACAGCCTTTCTGAAGTCAAGATAAACAATATCCACCGCTCTCCCCTCATCCACTTAAACAGTCACCTGATTGTAGAAGACTATCTGGTTGGTCAGGCATGATTTTGCCCTTCATAAATCCATGCTGACTACTCTGAATAACCTTCTTGTTCTTCATATGTCTGGAAATGGTTTGCAGGGTCACTTGCTGTATTACCTTCCCAGGGGTCAAGGTGAGGCTGATCAGGTATAGTTCCCTCATCCTCCTTCTTGCCCTTCTTGAAGACAGGGGTGACATTTGCTTCCCTCCCAGCCTCAGGAACTTCCCCCATCACCAGGGCCTTTCAGAGGTAGAGAGTGACCTCAGAATGACATCAACCAGCTCCCTCTGCACTCACGGGTGCATCCCATCAGGCCCCATGGGTTTGTATGTCCAGCTTGTTCCCTAACCTGACCCTCCGCTGAGGATAAGTCTTCCTTGCTGCAGTCTTTCCCCCAGTCTCAAGGGCCTGGAGGCTGGACTTACCAGTAAAGACTGAGGTGAAGAAGGCACCTCAGCCTTTTCCATATCCTTTGCCATCAGGTCTCCTGACCCAATGTCTTTTGTCATCAGCTCCTCTGTCCCATTCAGCAGGAGACCCACATTTTCCCTACCCTTCCTTTTGCTGCCCATGTACTTGCAGAAACCCTTCTTGTTGAGGCTTTTTCTGTTGTTCTATGGTCCTACACACCTCTACCCTCTCTATTGAGAAGAACAATGAGTAAAATAGGCAAAGCATCTACTTCCCAAAGGACTGAAAGTAAATCTGCTAATCTGGGTTTTTTCACAACGTGTCAGGGCTGGAAAGAGCACAGACTTGGAATGGAGTCAGCACCCTGACTGCAAATGGGAGGAAGCAAAGTGCTGGGCACTCTGTCCTGAGCATTGCAAATTGGTTAACTGCTAGAAAATGAGGCAGTCAAACGCATTAACTGTCTACTGAAATACAGGCCTTAATTGTGCTTCAGTAAACTCAGACTCTAAGTTGGACATAACATTAACTTCACTATTTCACAGAGCCTTCTGGCAAAGTGTTCAAATTTAAGTATCTTTCTGGTCTTTTGATGGAAAGTTTTATATTTTCATATATATATATATAAGCTTACATGCACACACACACACATATACACACACGTCAGTGCCCTTTAAATAGTGACATTTTCTCACACTCACCATCTGGTTACCACACAGGAGTCACAGTAATTTTTTTTCCCCATGTACAAGCAATACCACAATGTAGCAAATTCAGTCACTGCCAGCTTTTCTATGATGCCCAACTCTAAAACCATTAATCTTCTAGAGTGTATAACATATATAATCATAAAGAGTTTGGAAACAATGTTTATGAAAATTTTCCAAAATCTCTGACAACGCAACAGAGATAGCAATCTGACCTAAATAACCAGGCTGGTACTTTTAGTATCAAAATGAGGCAGAACGTAAGAAGGACAGATGGTTCCCAGTTGCATTTTGAATGCTTTGCTGCACACACTGGTGTTAGGGACCCAAAGCGTAGAGGATACTAGTGCTAATTTGACATCCAGACTAGTTGCGCCCTTTGTAATTCAGCGACTTCTCCTGACTGCTGTCCTCAGGACAACCGCTCTAATCCAGAATCCTGCCTCCTCATGGAAGGCTCTCCTCACTTGGGTGGTTATCCAGACCTTTGCAAACCAGAGACTTCCCTAGTTGCTCTGCATTTGGAAAGATGACTTGGAAATGGGTGTGATAGATCAAGATTGTTACTAAGGGTAAGATGACCATCTCGCTTGCTGTGGCTAAGTTCTGGTCAGTCTTTAGAGTAGAAAGCAAATGTCAAACAGAAAGGTCTAATTTTCTTAAGTACTGCTTAAGTCACTATTTTCCTAGATTTAAGAAGGAAGAAAAACATAAAAGGAAAATGACAAAATTACTACTAAGCTTCACACTGGGAGGAAGAAAGCTTTAGTAAAGCGGTTTTCTACATCCCATGGGAAAACCAGTTTGCAAAGGAGTTGAATTGCCCAACCTACACATTACCGCACTAGCTCCTCAAAGCATTTCACATAAAAAATTATGTCTACTTACCTATAAAGATAGGAGTTTTCCTTGTATTACATTAAAACGATCATTTAAAAAGCACAAATTCTACTAATAAATACAAATAGTCTGAACATGATCATGACTGGTGGTCATAGATATGATAAAACAGTTAATTATAAATTCTGAGTTCAATACTGAAAATTCTTTGCAAATATTAACCATCTCCTGCAAGCCCAGCTGCATATGGTTTAAGGTAAGACAGACACAAACAGATTAAAAAACTTGCTCAGATCAAACAGAAAATCAAGGGTAGAGATGGATGAGACTTCTTAATTTCAGTCCAACCTGAGGGTTAAATTGAGTTATCTAGTGACTAGTCAACCTGCTTCCTTTCCGTTACACACAGCATTTAGCTGATACGCTGTGTATTTCTGGAAAGGACACATCAGGGAAGCCTGTAGCTGTTGACAATTTGCATATATTTTTAGGGGGCAATAGACACAAAGCCCTGAAAGACAGCAGTTAAGTTTCATTTATTAAGAGGATCCACCCACTTCTAAAATAATGCATGTGAGTACCATAAGATTCATTTTCTGCAAGACTGAAATAAATTTTCTTCCTGACACAAAAAAGATGGTGTCACAGCAAGTTACAGCATCTCTTCAAAAGTGGGACCCAACACACACCTCCAATACTACATTTCTGGTGACCCAGTTCTGAATAATCTTTGAGATAATACTCCCACCCTGCAGGAGACCACAAACAAGGACTAAAGGCAGTACAGTTTATCATTCTTCTACACCAATTATAAAGTGGTATAAAACAGAATTAATTTCCTGAGGAACTGCCCTTTTCGTCATCTTGCTTTTTAGACATAAAGCTTTAAAGGGGAAAACTACATTTCCTAAAATTGACTTTGCATCTCTATTGCAATTGTTTGTATCTATTTGAGAACTCATTGTCACTCCTCGCATTCAGCATTACTGACAGCAACTGCCGGTGATTTGTCTAATCTGACATCCCTTGCCATCCTGGCAAGCACCAGATGCTACAAGAAAGGCGCTAGAAACCCCACAACAGTGGACAATAACACAATAAACAGCTTTTTGGGAGGCTACCCTTGCCAGAGCTTTTCTTCATTGGTCACTGCACTAAAATATAATGTTATATCCATTGAAAGTAATGTGACATCCACGCTTATAAATGATAAATTTCTTCACCAATCCTGCAAATATTTTGCCTCAGTGACCTCTTGTGGCAGTGAGTTTGAGAGATATTAGGCCAGCATTGTGCATGACAAAAATTCTTCCGTTTAAATGATACACAATTAATAAAAATGGATAAACACCTGAATGAGTAAACTCATGGGGAACACAACCATTTCATTATAGTGTGATCTTTCAGCAATACATACAAAATAGAGGATATTTCCTTTTTTTTGGCTTAATACATGAATACACTTACCACTTTCTGGCCTGAGAGGTAAACTAATAGGTGGACACAGGTTAGGCATGGTGTTCTTCAAGTCAGCTAAAAGCAGAAAAAAACCAAAACATTTGAAAACAATTACACTTGAAGTTTAAAATGTAATCAACACCTCAATATTTCCATCATTACTTCTGGGATCTGGATATTGCATCTTCTCACGGCAAACACCAAGAGTAAGGATGCGAAGCTGCTTTGCTATCTAACCTTTTTGGGCTTGTACATGAAAACAGACTTCCCTAAATTTCCATATTTATAAAAATTCCTACAAACACTTTTCAAAAAGCAGTTATTTATGAACAGCTCATTTCAGTAGTTCTGCAGTTTTTTCCATGCCCCTCTGTGTTTGGTTTTCTGCATCACAAGAGATGTGAGATTTTCTTCTTGCTGATTAGCAGACTGGATTTTCTCAAAAGGAGAATTAGGAACAAGTCAGTTTCCAGCAGGAAGTTTTTCAAATTAAAATCCAAATAATCGTACATATTTTCCACACATGAAAATTCTCATTTGCTAACATTTCCCTTAAACATTTTGTAATTTCAAATAACAAATAAGAAGTTTCCCCTGTGCATTCATATTTTGTAAAACACTTTGGCTAATCAAATCAGTTATAAATTCTCTATTGAGACAAAATAAATTACCACCCCTACAGAAGCTGAAGACAGATCAGATTTTCTATTTGCTGCTTCTGCTTTGTACTGCCCATGCATGTAACCAATAGATATTTCTCAAAACTCAGGAGTTTTACCATTCACACTGACAGGAGTGAAGAACTGGGGCTATCCACAACTCTCTTTAAAATGCTACTATATTCTCCTCATTGACTGAGCTGCAACCATGACTCTATGCATAAAGTCAAATTGCTAAAGAGCAGAGCTGTGTAGGCAAACAGCTCACACGTCAACTTAACATATTGTGAAACGCGGAGATGCAAGTACCTTCCTACAGCAGAAGACCGCGGACTAAAACCAAAGACCCTGTTTCATGCTAGCGTCCCACTGTCTACCGTAAATTCCTCCTTCAGATTTCACTCATTTTCCCTTTTAGCCTCAGAGCTTTCTTGTTCCTCTTCATGGTTCCCAGACCCTCAACACACCACAACTGATACAACTGATACAAATTTTTGTCTGCAAATATCTCCATTTGCATAAACATCTGTGCCTTGTTGTGTGTTATGGTGGAAACACATCTGAAGCTTCCTCACTACATAAGGAAACGTCACCGTCTCTCCTAACACTCCCCCCTTTGCATACACCCCAGGCTCCTCTTCATCATCCCTCTGTCTGGGAAGTGAGGAACACCCTCTATTTTTAGTTGGTTCTTTGTCAATGAGACAAAAAACAATTCCAAAAAGTGGAAGGGTATCTACGCCTCTGCCGTCTCCTCTTCACTTCGCCTTTCTACTGTTCTTCATTCTTACCCCTGGTTGCCTCTCAGCTCTGCCTGCCCACGGGCTCTTGCCGTTGCCTACTTTATCAGCGCTATCGTCCCCTCTCAGTGCTAGTCCCTCAGCCCATCCCTCCCCAAGCCCGCACCGAAGGTCTGGGAAACCCTATAATCTTCCGTGGTGCTCCCTCAACTCCATGCTGTGTCTCCTCTTTAACAAGGGTTGCCCCACTTGGGGAGGAAATGGATGGTCTAGTGGGCAGAGTGCCAGCGTAGGACTTGGAAAAGCTCAGGATCAAGTTCATATTTCAGACACTTCCAGTGTGAATGAGGGTTTTCTTTAAGTTTACCAACACTGTAAAATGCAGTGTATTGCCAGGATATCTGATCTAGCTCTACACAACTTTAACTGGATTATCTTTATATCACACGGCCTGGACAGCATATATCTACACTTCATGCCTCCCCTCTCCACTCAGATATCAGTCCTCTACTCTGCAAGAACTAAGGGAGTTTAAAAGCAGGAAAAAGTACTCCTTATTCATTTTTTTTCCCTGATTCCGTCAACGTTGCCAGACTTGCCTCTCTGCTTTCGGTGGAGTTCAACAAGGTCGTGCCCGTTTAGACCCAATAACAGGTTATCCTCCCGTAAAGGGGGGTACAGTCAGGCAGGTGTTCATTGTCCTTATTGTTTCAGTTATGTTAAATCGAAGCTTCACAAAATAGAATTAGAGCCACTCATGAGGAATGTGACAAATGACGAACCCATTGAAATTTTTCAACAAAGTAATGGAGTCTTTTGTTTTGCTATGGAAAAGAAAATTCACTTTGACTAGACCTGGTTTTGATTCCTCTTGAGGAAATAACCTAACCTCTCATGACTTCTCTTCTGTTTAAAGACGTGATGGCTTCTTACTGCTTGAAGAATACAGTGCTACCTTGGAACTTGGTCTTGGCTCTTTCTTTAACAAAACAGCCAAAAGTGAATTTTAAATTCCATAACAAAACCAAATCTTTTGAAGTTATGCATCCAAGCACACTGTTAAACCATAAGCCAAGCAGTGAGAAACAAAGAATGATATGCTGACCAGGACTGTGCAGTGGGACAAAATATATTTTGATTCTGACATTGGCCACAAGATTCCCATAAAATCTAGGAAATCATATATTTTGATTCTGACATTGGCCACAAGTCTCCCATAAAATCTAAGAAATTAAATTATACGTCTTTGAGGTATTTCTATTCCTTTTCTATTAAAATGGAGATTAAATTGCACCTTTCTTTCCCTCGCGCATACTTGTCTGCCTTGCCTATTTGTGATCCTTGCAAATGGGTCCTCCAAATGAAAGCTGAAGCCTCTAAACATTGAACTAGTTAATAAGCTTCAATGTACAGAAACCCGTTGGAAAGGCCATGTGCCCTGCATCACTTACCAGGCTTTTGATACCAGCCAAACGGGTGTACTCTGACTTCAGCATCCGGTGAACTACAATTTGAAACTTGCCAAGCACTTCTTGTTTCCTCAGCACACGTCTGGATTCCTAGGCTGTTCAGAGTCAGGCACACGATCTTTCCACCTGCCAGGAAAATACATGGTTATAGAAATGATGAGGAAAATTTTCCTCTTCTAGATAGTATTTTGAGGAAAGTGAATACAGCACAGTTCCACTGAGTGTTAAAAGGAATTCCAGTGACTCACAAATCAAAGGAAGGAAATACCTAAAATGGGCCAAGTTTTACTGTTGTTGAAAAATCACAATGAATTCAATATGAGGGAAGGTGGGTACCAACATTATAACCCAGTAAGGTCACTAGGAGTATTTCCACTGAGCAAAGATCAGGACCTCTTCTTTAAGCAAGCATCCCTTTCTAGTTAATGCAATCCTGGAAATTAAAAATCTGCATGGGTGTTGAAACACGGCCCCTACTTACATCAAGATAAAAATTCTGCCTTTCAAAGTCTTAGTGTAAATATTTCTGTACCTGAAAAAAATTGAGGGTTTGAAACACAGCTAGGAGTTTCACTGAAGTTTTATGCTATCTCACGTTAAAATCACTACTGAAAGTTCTCTTGACTATATGAATGCCAGGACTGGATGTCTGGAATGCCACAGGTAATAAATATTCATCAGATAAACTAAGAGGTGTCAGTTTTGCATGTGCAGTGCTTTAAAATCCTCAATTTATTTTAGAACTATTTAAAGAAACTTAAAATCATATTCAGTTAAGACTTCAAATTTCACATGGTCATATGGAGGTATGAAAACTGTCAACTGTTTTTGATTTGCGCAGTAATTCCAATCTAAACTACATTGGACTAATTTTCCAAGCTACTCATTTTTGACTGAGTGAAAATTTTGTCGGCTCAACAAAAAAGGGAATTAAAAATATGTATTTCTAAAGTGTTCCAAATTCCCAAATGAATTGTAAAACCAGCACGTTCTAATGACCTCAGGGAGAGTTGATTAGCACATGACATTTCCGAAAACAAGGTTAGCCATTTTAGTGGCTTAAATCTGAATTTGGAATAAAATATTAAAAACTATTTCATTGACTTTGACCTGGATGGCATCCAATTTTAAACACCTGCTAAAGAGTTTCTTTTAAACAGAGCACTTCCTTCACAGCCAGTGGAGAGAAAAAAAAGTACCTCCAGAACAGGATCCAGTCAACCAATGCTCTAAACGACCCCATAGTTGTGTTTATACATCTCTCCATTGACTACAGAGGGAGCATAGGGTGACAACACCCCTTAACTTAGCCATCTCAGGTAAGTAAAATACGTTTGTTTGACTTTCTAATGGCTTTCAAGTCATGCATACTTTTAAAGATCTGATTTCCTCAGACTAACAGAAATCCTACTTGAGGTCTTAAGTAGAAGATAGGCAACCTCTATCCCCAACCAATCTTCCTCAAGTAGAAGACTAAAATTTGGGAGCAGAGAAGTTCAGACATCCAAGAAAGCCAAAAGGCTAAGCTGCCCCAAAGTATCCATGGACATTATGTGTTCAATGTGCATTTAATTTCAGTAATATTTAGGTTTCTAAGTCTCTTAGGTTTAAAAAATGAAACAACATTAAAAAATATATCACAAAAAGAAGTCAACCAATATTTTGGGAGAGGTGTTGATAAATGAAAAGTAACAGTTCCCTGGAGTTTTATCAGTTTGAATTTCATGCTATTGGAACTGCAGCCTTTTAAGGACTCATTATCATGAAGTTTTCTTAATGGTTTCTGAGATGTGAAGCATGTCATTGGGCTGAACTCCTAGAAAAGGTCACACCTCAAAAAGGTGCTAAAGAGAGTGGCATAAGATCTGCAAGGGCTTTTAAAGTGCCCTTCAGAGCAAAAGAACAGTAAAGTTTGGAATAATGAAGGGAGACTGAAATTATTAAAAAAAAAAAAAGGGGGGGGAAAAATACCTGATAGCTGGGAGTCATTAAAAAACCCAAATCCTGTGCAACAGGGGTCAGCATCACACCAACGCTCACACTCAAAGAAGCTGGAAAAGGAAAAACATCATTACTCTTAGCATCATTAATAATCTGTCTCTGTCATGGAGAAGGGAAGAGAGGATATTGCATAGACTGAGGACCTGTAGAGATGCCTTTCACGATAAGACTGCTTCATGGTTCTTCATACTGCATAGACACTTCCATATTTTTCCATTTGTAGATGAAATTACATTTGATCAGTATACATCTACCAGACCACATCTAATAATTTAGACAATTATTTTGATCTCTGCCCTAAAATTATAAACCTAAATTAATTTGGAGTATTATTGCCAAGAGATTTAACTGGCCAACCAGCAATTTAATAGCAGTATAAGTAATAATTCACATATATATAATTACTAATTATATACATTATTATTTATAACTCAATTATAAATCTCCTTTAAATCATATGCTATTTTTTTCTTCATTAAATATTGTCAAATAATGCTGTTCTTGGATCAAGATATCTGATCCCCTTCATCTGTGTAACAGGGGCCTTGGTATTCCAGGCATGGTTAAACGTCCAGTAAAATCAAAGGAACAGTTATGTCCTACCCATCTGAAACAGCTTTTCTGCTCATGTCAGTCTTATTCCTCACTGACATCCCCGTTACTTTCTGGAATGGTACACGTGTGTAGAAGCTCTTCACAGAACTTTTTAGAGTGACTGGAAAGAAAAAGAAAAACAAAATTGGAAAAATCATCTTAACCTTGTAATTTACATATACTAGTCAAGTATATGTAATCACATGGTAAGAGTAAAGTTTATGTTTCTATGCTACAATGGTCTTGATCAATTAAAAGATAATTTTACATTATCACAGTAAACTTTTGATGGTTAAGCTGAAGGTGAACAAAAATCCATTAAGTGAAGGCTCTAAAACCTGAGCAAAGTACATCGCCAAGGAAAGACTTCCAGCCCAGGGCTTCTGTTTCTGAGACCTGTATTGACATTACCCCTTCCGCAAGTTCCAAAAACTGGGGGACAACTCCAGACTGGAAGAATCCAGTGTGCTTATGCATTATTCAACCTGTGCTGCACTTTGGGCTCCCCAAAAAGACATGATTTAATAGTTTAGTTCAGTGGACCTTTACATTTTTCTCAGCAAAAGGTTCCTGTACAGTGATAACAGGGTTGTTTGTCCAGCTTCCTCACATGAGACCTATGAGAAAATCATTGAACTTCCTAAGCATTCAAAGAGCAGAGGTTAAAATCCACATGTCTATAACTCCGGACTGGCTTTAAAAAAAAAAACAAAAAATTATACTCAACAACTTCCATTTTTGCATTGCTTAACTACCATGGAAATTTTAATGGTAGAAAATGGGATTGGTGACATCCCTGTGACATTCTCATTTCACCCACATTATAAAAAGATCTAAGACCTTGTATACAAAATATTTGAGCTACCCTTGGCCTCTCTGAATTGGGAATAACTCAGGTGGAGAGTCGAATTCGTGGTTAATATCTTTCCATTCTGAACTGAAAATTAAAAACTATACCCAGAACAGCCTGACCTTCCCTTGCACCATCACGTCCCAGGACTCATTCATACATTCAGACTTTTTATCTCAGAATCAAGAGCCAAAACACTAGCTTGCACTTCTAGGGTTAGAGCACACATTATATAACCAAGTCCCAAAACTTGCCTATTTTACGATACAATGTTTGTGGTTGCCAGGGTAGGACAGTTCGACAGATTTCTGGTATTTGATTGATGCTGCCATCACAAATCTGTGCCTCTGGATAGAGGGTGCACACGAAGTATTTGTCTGCAGTGTTTTGAAGATCTGCCATTCGACAAAACTCATCTTCTTGTGCACAACCTAGGAAGCAAAGGCACTAAGAATTACACACACACACGAGTTCCTTCCCCTCTCTATTCCTCTTCATGTCTTCAGCACACTTAAAGCTATCCATCGGCAAACAACTAAAAGTGAGAATTTCAGTATTATCCTATTACAGTGCAAGAGAAACAGGGACAGATTCTGTTTCTAGTGACACTGAAGAGCAGGTTTACCTGAAGAGCACAGAAAAGGAGATACACCACAGCTGATTGGAAAGATACATTCCCCAGCTGTGACCAGCATTACCCTAGTGGATTGGTGTCACTCTAACATTGTGATTGATAAAGATCTCTCTCTCTTTCTTTTTAGTAAATTTGACATACAAACTGTATAATCATAAAAGAACTCTACATCAGTCGTGGGTCTCTTTAAAGAATAAAAAGGACAACAAATTCTACAATGTCTTAGGAATTTTTTGCAAAAAATATTTCTGAAGTGTTCATACATCACACAAAAAATATAAATAACTTTTCTAGAATCAACTGTTCAAGCCATTTGCTTGTAGCAATTTGCACTGAAATTTGCCCCAGGGTAATAATGCATCTTCAGAAAAGAAACAAACCCATGTCAAACCCATTTCTTAATTACTGTGGCAATGGCTTCTGTAAATATATATGTCAATGCTTAATTTTAAACAGGCATAGCTCATTGACCTCTTACAGTGATGTTTGTGCACTGTTTAGTACTCTTGGTTCTGCCTTCCCGGGAGTCAGAGCTAGAAACTCTCCTCCATTTATTGCATCAAAATATACTTTATCATTAACCCCTAATATCTGTATTTTACCTTCTTCTTTTACCACTATGTCATCTATCTTTTTGGAGGGGTACATTTCAAGAATAGCAGAGTATTGCCTAAGCTGTATCTTCTATTTCTCTTGCCCATAACAGGGATACCCCGACGATGAATGATGGGTACCCTTTCTGTCACAGCAGACAAAGATTGTAAGGAAGAAACAGGTGGCCCCATTAGCAACTTCCATGAAAATTCTGTGGGGTTTCCCCGAAAAATGTCTGGGTCCAGAGTTTCTACTCATCATGATTATAATACCTATTAAAAGATTTAAATTAATTATTATTCCCTACAGAATAACCGTCTCCAAGAGGTCTTACGTGTGAGACACCAAAGCACAGCTTCCTCTGCTGAGTACTTCTGCCTGAAGACCCAATACTGCTGGTAAGGGAGAGAATAGTTCTGGTCACTTTGTATTCGGCTGTTGTCCATCAGGTAGAAAAGATCCTTTGTGGAATCTGAGATTCAAACAAACAAACAAACAAACAAACTGCTTAAAGCCACAAAAACTCAACTATGAGCTGGAATAAATTAAATTTATTTATATATAAAATTCTGCCTTTCACGGTAAAACAGCTGCAACCGTTTTGTAGGGCTAGCATACACCAAAGGCTGCTTTTAATAACAGAATTGTCCACTCACAGTTACTGATGCTTGTGTAGGCAATGCCTCCTCACCAAGCTGCACTGCACAACATAGCATTGTCAGACTATTTCCACCACCCAAAAACTAGATGAAAATCACAGCTCCTAGAAATAAGAAGGTTCTCTCTATTCTGTCACGCAACTTGTCACCCTAACAGTGAAGTATGATGCCTCCGAAGATGTTTACAATACCTTAATCAGTCTAGTTATATTAATCCAAAATAGAGCAGTTTCCTTATATTCCCTTGGGAAGCTTTTACACCTGTCAGTGTTAAAAGTTTTCTCAACAAGCTTAATACCTATTTCAGTCATTTAACCTTATTTCTCCTAGTTTATGCTCCCACAAACCACATTAAATAACTCCTTTCTGTCACCTGCCTGTGTTCTTTAGACATGTATGCAGTGCTTTACATCTCGTGAGCTCCCTCTGAAACAATCAATATCACAGCTATTTTAGGCTGTTTTCAAATTAATCCCTTTAAATAAGGGTCCAATATTGAAAGCAATGGACACTCTTCACTGATCTCTTACAAATTTCTTCATACACCTTTTTATTTATCAAATGCCATTAGCAGGTCTCATCCCCAGTTACTCCAACATTGTGAGAGATTGTGTTACTTAATCTTACATGCTGTGGAACAGCCAGACAAAAATGAAAATAGGGAAATAAAGACCTGCTTATGATTGCAGCTGAAATGCTGAAGCGCCTACTGACATGCTGGGAGTGGACAATACGTTTGAATTTTCTATCAGAAAATAGAAAAGATATGTTACCATGTGCTTTAAGAATGATCATCAAGTAATAAAAGCTCTGTAGACATTTTCCCAGATGTATCCATAACTTTTTTAAAAAGGTGGCTTATAAGTCTTGTTACCTCTCAAGAATTAACTTCAACCTTCAGTTTCTCTTGAAACAGTTTGTGTCATGACTAAGACTAAGGGATGGAGGAAGAAGCTGCATTCCTTGCATAACTTCAGGTTTTAATGATATCCTCAGCTGCAGCAAGGTAAATGGAGAATCCTGAGGGCTGCACTCATGCCTTGGCAGGCAAGAGAATTTCATCCAATGAATTAAGTGCATTTTTTTCTCTTTTTTAAGTCTAGACTTTAAAATACCACTAACTGTATAGGAGTGCCACTAGGTATATGGGCATTTTAGTTTACCTTCCTTTCAAATTACATAAGCAAAACCAGCAATTCACTTCATGTTAGGATGTTACATGTATTAAATCACATGCTCATGTATTCATCAAGGCTCCTCAGCAAAGATTACAGTTCATTAGAGATGAACCAAAGTACTCTCAACAGGCTCCACTGCTCTCTTTCTTTTAGGATTATGGTGCTGAAGGCCCAAATGAACTCTAGTAACTTAATACAAATTATTCTGGATACATACATGAGTTAGTGTAATGAAGAACAGACCCTGGAATAACAAAGGAGCTAGACAACTTCACAGGTCCCTCACTTTTATCTTGCATGGAAGAAACACTGGTGATTGCAGTTTCATCCTGAGTTCCTCTAAGCATCATATTTACAGTCATATTGTCAGTAACAGTAAATGTGCCCAGGCACCCAGACTAAGGATTTAATTCCTGGGTTTATGCAAAATTTTTTTCAGCCAAATAATATTTCCTGAGTCTTTACAGTTCAGTAAGTCTGAAAGAACAAGCTTTCACAGAACATTTTAACACTTTCACTTCCAGCCTGGCCTGGGAAGGTAAAAACCAGAAGGACGGGAGGGCCATCCAGGAGGCTCACACTTTTAACACCTTTCTCAAAATTGCCAGGTCCTGCACTTCGGCCGCAACAA